TACGACAATAAAGGCTATAATCGCCGGTTTAACCAATGAATCCATATATCGATTGAAGCAATCGGTTTGGACTAAAATAAGTCGCGCCTCAATGTCCACATTCAAGTGGTTGTCCACTATTGTCGACGACGTTAACAATCAGACACTACTAAGACATACGCAACTCATCATTGAAGGCACGTCTAAAGTCAGGTAACAACGAGTTATAGCGATAAACAACTTATTTTTCTTAACGGAATTGAATGAATGAAAAATAAAAATTTTACCGTAATATCCCATAGACAACGCGCACCCCGTGTATAACGCGCAGTAAGAAATTTAACAATATTTTTGAATGAAAAATCAATCGTAGATAACGCGCACCCCGTGTATAACGCGCATATCCTCTACTGTATGTTTAACCTTATTAGTGTTACGCGTATTTTTAGAATACAATTCAAAACAAATATAGTAATTAATTGTTGTAATTAAATAAATTTTAAACAATTAAAAACAACAACAAAAATCATTATTGATTATTAGATATTAGGGATGTGTTCAGAATTAGGTTTTGATTTGACTGATTTGATTGATTTTTATACTAATTATAATTATATTTATAAGTCCAATCGGAAACTAATCATAATCTCATATTAACTTTACGTTTAATTCTTGCCAAATTTTTTTGGTATATGCCACCAAATCAATTTAAACACTATTTCATACATACATTATATGTCGTTTATTGTGAATATATAAATTTTAAAAATTATTTCAATAAGTGTTGATTTCACACTATAGTTATGATATAGAACACATTAGAAATTTTGTCCTATTTTAGTTTTAATTTAATAAACTAGAATATTTTAAAAACACTTTTTAAAATACTTTTTTGTGTGATTTATTTTTAAACCACATATAACGCGCACCCCGTAGATAACGCGCACCACTAATTTTGGCAAGAAAGTCACTTTTTTCATTAGATAACGCGCGCGTTGTCTATGGGATAATACGGTACATAAAATTATAGCTTAGAGGACGAGTCGTTCGGAACGATACCATATTTGGGTACTTTTCTAACTGATATAACAATGATTAACACACGGTATCCGAGTTATACCCAGGTATTTATTATACATATTCAACCATAATATCTCTAATATTGAGTTCGTGGACTAAATTACCCATATTTTAAATGCGATATTTTGTGTTAAATGATAGTCACAAACAGACGTAAAGCTAATGAATTTCGAGAAGTGTTGCCAACAATACGAGATCTTAATGCAGATCCAATTGCTGCAGAAGAGTGTGTTCGCGGCGCTCACCGCTATTCAACAGCAAACACAACAATTGGGCAGAAGTTATCTGCCGTTGAAGAACACACCGTTCACTCCAACCATTCCACGGGTGGCCAGAATTTTTAGGATCTGGTTTCAGGCCAATGATATCGAATTAATCACCGATAAGCACTGGTATGTTGTCATGTATTATGCAATTAGACTACTGTCTCAGTTCACACCATAACTTATGGTCCATAAGTTTACACTCGATTCTCATATCATCTGTCAGTTTTCACAAAATATTGAAATTATTATTATTACATCTGAATTCTCGTTGAAGTCAATCAATGATTTGATAGTTTAGTTATGGTTTACTGAATGTCTACTTATAATATGTTCATGATTTCATATATTAGTGTGAAAAGTCATGAAATTACATCATCTAATCAGATATATACAATAATGTGGGACATTATATCATATGGAGGGGCTTATCGGGTGTGTGGGGCTAATTGTAAAAATGCTCCTAGCACTGTTATTGTACAATGTAATGTACATGGTACTTTTATCAATGCATTGCTANATTGCCTGTGTTTGTCGTTTGCATGTATTATATACTCAATGACCCACTGATACCAATATCGCAGATAAGACCGTAAATCAAATAATAAATATCAGTTATCTTAAGTTTGAGTTACGAAACTAAGTCTGAAAATTGGTTTTAATGTTTGGTTAACTTTTTTACTTCTTCTATAAGTGAGCTTTTATTCAAATATCAAAACAAAAAGCAATTTATAGTAATTTCGCTAATAATGTAATGAGAAAACAATCCATTTTCAAATCAATTTGTGACAAATCAAGTGTCAATTCATTGTCAACAAAAAAAACTATTACAACAACACTATTATTGTTGTTTTATCTGTTATTCTTCGTGATTATCACTGTATTTATAGTACGGTTTAAATGCAGTTTATTTATGTTTGCTTTCACAACACATTTCAATGAGTGAACCAAATAATTTTGAGCTCAATTTTTAACTCCAAAATAAGTTTTTCAATTCATTATTTGAATAAATTTTTTCGTTCAAAAGCTCTATAAATAAAAACAATTATTATTATTATCTAAAACAACAGTAGATTTAAGTCACGACATCTTCAATGGTCTTACGTTTTTTATTAAACACTCAATACATAAGAATTGTTTCCAAGAAAAAAGTTTGTTTAATAATGAGTTTTGACTTTCAATTAAGATTAGTAGTCATTGAATTCATTCAATTGTAGTTTCAATTGAAATTTGAGTTTGAGATAATAGTTATAAAATATAAATTCTAATGATTAAAAAAAACACAAATATTTACATAATTTTAACATTAAAGTGTTAATCGTAATGTAATTTAGGAAAAAGTTAATAGTAATTGTAATTTCAAAATAATTGTTAGGAATTTAGACTAAAATAAGTCTTACGATGTGTTAACTAAGCGATGAAATCGTGAAAAACATTTTTTTACGCAAATAATAAGTGAGATAATTTGGTAATAAATTTTCATAAAGTATCGAAACATATCTCAAGAATTACTTATTTCTCATGTTAATTGTCTTGCATTCAAATGGATTTTATTACTCAAAGCAATTAATTATCTGTTAATTAGAAAATTGAGGGAAAAACAAATGAAATAAAAGGTTTATTCATGTTTTTTAATTTTGTTATGCAATTCTCGTTAACATATTTGATATGCATTTTAACGTCAAACACAAAATGTTATAATGAATGACAGAATATAACAATACAATAGTTGTAGACTTTTTACATGTCTGTTCAGCAAATGTGAGGCCAATTGCATAATACATTTGCACTTATAATTGAAAAATATTTATCACTGAATCAATCATAATATAAAAAATGAAACTGTTTTCTCAATTGCAGAATACAATTGTTTTTTAAATAAATGAATTTCGATATATATTTACGAAACATAAAGAAGTTTAATATAAATGTTTTGAACCCTTTATTTGCACAGAAATCATACAACAAATCGTCGTCAGTACTGGAATTGGACCCCAGGTTTATAGCACAACAGATCAC